GGGGAGAGTTTATTTTCTTCAAGCCTAGCAGTGTTCTCAATTTGGTTTTACAGGAAAATCTCATTAAGAAAGAGCTGAGAAAATTTTCCTTTAGGCTCTAAAATAAGCCAGCCCTGTTTGTTTACTTTGGGGGCATTTTTATTAGTTATCTCTTTAAAGTGCCTTAGAGAGAAATAAGACCTGAGCTTGGTTATCTCACTAAACCTCAGACAGAGAGAATGAAGCCCGAGGTGTTCTGACCACTTATCTGCAAGCTCTGATCAGAAATTGTACATTCCAGTTATAATCCAGATTGCCTTTTAGCTTAATTGGGAAGTTCTCAATGTCCTTTCCTCAGATGTGGTAGGGCTTGAGTCGCTGATAGGATTAATGTGGTCCCCTGACACCAACCTCGTAAAGCATCTTACTATAATCAGTGTGTGACCCTTGTAGTCACAACACAGAGTGGTAGGTTCCACAAATGATTAAGGAACTGTTCTTCTTTCTGATTTTTTTCTATTATTTCTTCTTCTAAAGACATTTGTCTGACAACATTAGAGGATTGAAGGTTTGGAAGTTTTTTTCTGTGGCAGCTGGCATTTTTTAGAGGGGCGGGAGGAGATGGGAGCCATGAAGTTGACCTTTACTGAGAGCCTACTCTGTACCACGGTCTCCTTCAGTCCTCACAATGAGCCTATGATAGAGGTAAGGTTCTTCTTGGTAGGATATTAGAAATGGGGACCCAGCTTGGAAGTCGAGCTAATATTTAATGTGCTCTGAGCCTTGGTTTCCTCCTTCCTTCCTTAGGGGGTTGCTGTCATAACTGAGTAGGACCGTGTGTGGAGCCACCTAGCCAAGTGCTAGACATATGTCAAGAACTATGAAGGGTCTGAGATTTTACTCTGCCTGCAGGCTAACAAGTCAGCCTGCCATTACTGGATGCTGGCAGAAGACATGATGCTCTTGGGTTGGAGTTGAAAAACTTTGTTACACAGTGTGAGCTTCAGCTATGGATCAGTTCCCCTTTCACTCAAAGTCCCACAGGAGTGATATGGATGGTTCTGATGGGTTTGCATCACAGCAGAGAACTCCCAGGTTAGGGAACCTGAATCTTTTGCCTAGTGTTGGACAGTTCCTTCTGTTCTTATTTTTTGTATTATTTATTACATATTTTTTATATTATAAAAAAGAAGCCTGAATCTTTTATAATTGGTTGCAAACAAGTTTACCCCCTTTTCCACTGGGAGATAGTGTCTCTATCTTCCAGAGCTGTTTGCTGTACAAACATCCTGGAAAAACTGGTTTATAACAAAGGCTGCCAGAATCTTTGCTAGCAAAATGTGTAGGAATGCAAGAGACTTGCAAGAGAGTTATCTCCCCTACACATTTCTTTATTCAATAGATATTTATTGAGTACTTACTGTATACCATACATCACATTAGGTGCTAGGGATTCTTCAGTAGACAGAATACTCAAGGTCCCTACCCTTGTAGAGTGTTTGTCATGACACAATATTCTGAATGACATCTACAAATTCACGCTCCAATATAAAGAGGGGCTCTGGCTGGCAGGCCAGTTCTCAGCTGCCTCTTCAGAGAGTACATGTTTGCCCTCCAATATAAGGGAGATGTTGTTTGTTCTTTTTTCCTCCAAGTGGCAGGTGGGGAGGATGCTGGAGGTATACTAGCAAAGGAAAGGACTCTATCCTCATCTCCATGATCTTTTATCAGACTGGCTGAATGACTTTCCAAATTATCAGGTAAACGCACCTGACACTGTAACTTAAGCATGTCCATAGAATGACCCTGTATGGCAATACAGGCAATACCGTACCTATGGGAATAGTGGGACAGAATATTTAAAATTGAGACCTCATGAGAAATGTCAGTACATTGTTCCTATACACACAGGTGATCAATCAGGGTCTGAGCATTTGTTGTCTGGCTGATTTGATCCTTAATTAATTTTGAATGGAAAAGCCCTAGAATCTATAAAGACATTTAGAAAACTCATCTTTTAGGTCATGTTTTAGCATGGCAGAAAGAAACCTGCAGCCCTGGAACCATGGAGACTGGGCAGACACCTTGGTTCTGCCTTTCCCTGCTTGTGTGGCCTTGTTTATAGTGTTCTCTCTCTCCAGCCTCTGTATTCAGAGCACTTCTCCTTTTACAACAGGACCAGAAAGTCCCAGGTAGTACTGGTTGTGTGGATTCAACAATTCATATTCTCACCTTCCTGATGAGCAAATTCTAAATCCAGGGTCAGAGGCCTCTTGAGCATGAGTGGTCATAAGACAGGTGTGCAGAGGGGCACTGAGGGCCAAAGGCTGCAGAGAGACAAGAGGAAAGAGGGAGACTCTGGGGTGCCCCCAGAGCTGGTTGCTAGAGGCCCAGGATTGCCTGAGGAGCCATAGATGCTCATTCTGCAAGCGCCCCAACATAAATATGACCCCAAAAATAGATTCTGTAGGAACCCATTCAGATTGATCACTTTTACTCAAAGATGCAGAATAACATGCAGGGGTTAAGAGGGTGGGCTCTCCTTTAAATTACCCAAGTTTGACTTTTAGCTCTAACAATAAGCAACTGTGTGACTTTGGACCAAGGTATCTAACCTTTCAGAGTGGTTTCTCAGCTGTGAAGTGGGGATGATAATATAATCTCTTAAGGAAGAATGAAAGTCATCTATTGCAGGCATGTAGCACATGTCTGTTTCATAGCAGCTTCTCAGGAGTTGTACTGCTTCTTCTTTGTTTATGTTGATTTTCTAATAGAAATTACACATTGAACTGAAAAAACCAAGCTAGTCATCTCCTAGCAAAATAATAGTAATAATCACCCACAATTGGCTCATTTTCTTTGAGGCTGTTTCTGGAAAGATTCCATTGCCTTCCAGCATCACTCTGCACAGGCTGTACCAGGCTCAGGCTGAAAAGCTGTGAACACAGGGCTTCTAGCAAACAGACATCTTGACAGAGCACAGGTGGACCCTGCTCAGTGCTGCAGTGGTAGAGCCAGGTGTGTTTTAAATGAACCGATGTAATCAGACTTCCTTTTGTTTCTCTTCCCCCAGGATCTCTTTGAACTGAACTTACCCCATCAATTTCCTTACTTGAATAGCTTAACGAGGATTTGGAATTTCATTACACAGTGAAGGAACTCAAGTGCCTGGAAGGTCATTCAGGTCAGCATAGAAATGGCTGGAAAAGTGCCCATTAATGAGCTTAGTGGGAGAAAAATAACAACAAAATCACTTTCCATTTCCTCTCATGCTCTGGTGATGTTTTTCTCTCCCAACAAGGGACTGCTAAATATCCATGGGGTGATTTCAGGATGCCAAGTTTTATCCTTTAGACTTCCTCTGGTGACTTGATGATAGTCTACTAGGATGTGGATGGGTCAGTATTATCTCCTGTAAACAGAAACGGTTACATGCAGCTTCCACTGCCTGTAGACTGGGAAGCCTTGGAATGGCTCATTAAAGAAGGACTCAATATTTTACTTCACAGTCTTCTTGCTTGAATGGTTTCTGAAGAGATGCTAGATGTAATTCTTATTTTTGCTACCCTACAGGTTTTCCCTTTGGCATCTTCCAAGACTTTTGTTCTTTATTTTTGCTTTTCTCAAGATTAAATATGATATGCCTAGGTGTCTGTATTTTATATTTTGGTATTTATTCTTCTTGGTGTTCTTTAACCTCCCTGGATCTGTGGTTTGGTGTCTGATATCAACTAGGGAAATTCTCAGTCATTATTGCTTCAAATATTGCTTATGTTCCTTTCTTTGCTCTGCTTCTGGTATTCTCATTAAGTGTATTTACAACATTTGTAGTTGTCTTACCATTCTGGATTATTCTATTTTTATAAATCTTTTTTCTATTTATGTTTAGGTTGCGAAAGTTTCTAGTGTCATATCCTGAAGCTCAGAGGTTCCTTCCTCAGCTGTGCCCAGTCTACTAATGAATCTATGAAAGGAGAGTCTTCTTTTGCTGTCTTGATATCTAACATTTTAAAATTTCTTTTTTAGAATTTCAGTTTCTTTGCTTTACATTATTCATCTGTTCTTGCATATTGTCTACTTTTTATTTTAAAGCGGTTATATTAATCATAGTTTAAAAAAATTCATTGGTAATTGCCACATCAAGGCTATCTTTGACTCTGGTTTGATGCGTGTTTAGCCTTTTCAAACTGTGTTTTTTGCCTTTTAGTGTGCCTTGTAATTTTTTTGTTGAAAGGTAGACATGATGCATTGGGTAAAAGGAACTGTGAAGATAGGCCTTTAGTTAATATGGTGGCGAGGTATGGGAGAAGGGCAAGTGTTCTGTTGTCATGTGACTACTGAGAACTGATTAGGTCTCAGTTGTTTTAGAGCCTGTGCACCTGGACTGTAAACTTCACTAGTGCTTCTCAATGGTACTTCCCCCTTAGGTGGGACAGAATGGCTACAGGGGGCTGGAGTTGGGTATTTCCCTTCCCCCAGGTATATTAGGCTCTGATAAAAGCCCCTCAGGTTAGGCTCTGGTAAGTTAATTCTCATAAGGGTAGGCCCTATTAAGAACAGAATGGTTTGGTGTATTTCAAAATGGATTCTTTTCCCTTCTCCTTGGCAAAAGCACAGGGTGATTTTTCTCCAGTATTCACTGTGTGGACCTGATAGAGACCCTGGAGAAAATAAAACATAAAAATGTCTACCTCCACACTCTACTCCCCTCCATGTCTAAGTTCTCCTGGAGTTTTTAACTGTCAGATTTTTCCACACGGAGCCTCTAGCAATTTGTCAGTTAGAGTTTACGTTTTCTCACCCCAGCAGTGGTTCCTGCAGAAGTTTCTGCTTGTGGGTTTTTGCTCTGGAAAGCTGTGATTCTCTGTATTCACCGGACTCTCCCATTTTTGGAGCAGCATTTAGCACTGTGACCTGACTTCTCTGACAAATCTAAGAGGAGCTGTTGACTTTCTGGTTTGTTCAGCTTCTTCCCTGTTTTTCTGTTTTATTTTGTAATTCCATATTTTCTTTGTTCTAAGGTAAAGGAAGCACCTGATGAGGCTGAAATGGTGTTTACAGCACATTGCAGAGCAACAATGGCCTTTCAGGCGAGTGGAGACTCCTGGCGGGAGCAGAAGGAGAAGCGGGCAGCCATGATGGTGGGAATTCTGATCGGTGTGTTTGTGCTGTGCTGGATCCCCTTCTTCCTGACGGAGCTCATCAGCCCACTCTGTGCCTGCAGCCTGCCCCCCATCTGGAAAAGCATATTTCTGTGGCTTGGCTACTCCAATTCTTTCTTCAACCCGCTGATTTACACAGCTTTTAACAAGAACTACAACAATGCCTTCAAGAGCCTCTTTAATAAGCAGAGATGAAGACAGGGGTTAGAGAGACATGAGTAGAGTTGTAAGGAGGCAGGAAACTTGGACTTTTTCATCAGTGATCTGAGATCCTTCCCTCCACAGCTGAGTGCTAATGCTGTCTGAAGAGTTATACCATTGGGCCTGGACTGTAGAAGCAGCAGAGCCCAGGCTCTCAAGAAAGACAGCATAGGTCTGGCAGGGGTTGTAACTATGCCTTCTTCCCATGTGCATGGCAGACGTTGCCAGTCGGCCATGGCTTGTCTCCCCACTGAGCAACAACTCCATCTCAGAATCCTTTCCAGGACAGCCTCTAGGCAGCTACTCTTGATTGTTTAAAATGGATGCAAGAGTTGAAGCTGATTTGCTATTCCTTTCTTAATAGTATATTCCTCAGAGGGGGTTTCTCAGCACTCAAGAGACTTCCTTCTTTCTGAGAAGAGCCCTGTCTACATCTTTTATCAACCTTACTTATCTTCCCCAGCCTCTTATGCTTCCCCAATAGGATAGTGTATCCCAATTTGTGAGAAGATAAGGAGTCCTTCATCAGTGAGAGATGCTTCTGGATATTCAGGTTGCTCTGTAAGTCAATTAAATTGGCATTTCTGGGAGGTGCAACCCCAGGCAAGTGTTTTTTAGAGCTTGTCAGGCAATTCAATTCTAGCTCAGAATCATTCTTGTGGTGTACACACAGGCATATGATGCCAAGACGGGAAAAATGATGCCCATTTTAGGACTCAAAACCAACAATCCTTCACCTCCACCCAAAACTGCCATAGTGACTCGTAGCCTTCCAGAAAATGTTAAATGTGGCCCAGAAGTATAGGAATCCAAAGGCATGGACTACATCATCTTGGCCATAGTCTACCTGATTTTGGAGGCAGAATAGCTGTCTATTGCTTTTTAATTTCCACCATTGGCTCGTTTGATAACTGAGTTACATAGACATTCTTCACACTTATACTAAAAAGTACCAGTATTTTAAGGTTTATCAGAGAATACAGATCCACAGTTCCTCTTCCAAAGCCTTTGGGACCAGATGCGTTTCAGAATCCAGAATTTTGGGGATTTTAGAAAGGCATACACACACACACACACACACACACACACACACAC